GGGAAAGAAATTATAGAAATTATACTTTTATTTAGCAAGGATGCTTAAAATTGATCAAAAGTGATGATAAAGGCATTTATAATGTTACAAAGATTTCTATTTCAGATAGTGTTCATATCGATATCGGAATTATATCGTATCGACCGAAATTAAGAAATATATCGTGATATCAATTTTGGCCATACCGTCCAGCCCTAGTTCAGACCAGTCAAGTTCTTCCACACTGACTCAATCAATCAGTTCTTTTTTAACCTTGCCTTATACACAGAAGCATTGCCGTGTTAGAATAGAAAAGGGTCCTGTCCAAACTGTTGCTATAAAATTAGAAGCACACAATTCCCTAAAATAGTATTATATGTTTCAACATTAAGATTTGTACTCATGAAAATTACTAGAGTAGTCAAACCTGTTCATTAGAAGGGGTGTCCCAATATGTTTGGCAATATAGTGTATATACACACACACAAACTTAAACATAAAAACATTTGGTAAAAATAAGTGTTGCAGTGCACTTCCACAACTTCCCGAAAACTACAAAACATTTATTTATTATATAAAAATAACACAGAAAAAATTAATTAGGCCAAAAAATGGGTAAAAACACTCCGCTGAATTTTTAACAAAAAAAAATTTATTTTTATGTTTTTTATTTATTTTTATTTTTTTGCTAATCAATATGTCAATGATTGAAGTCGTCTCAGCGTTTAGTACGTCTCTTTGTCTCTACACTCTGCTTGGTCAGTGGAGGCCTTCTGTCTTCAAACATCTGAATGTAATGATGGATGCTGAATTTTTAACAAAAAAATTTTTATTTTTATGTTTTTTATTTATTTTTATTTTTTTGCTAATCAATATGTCAATGATTGAAGTCGTCTCAGCGTTTAGTACGTCTCTTTGTCTCTACACTCTGCTTGGTCAGTGGAGGCCTTCTGTCTTCAAACATCTGAATGTAATGATGGATGAGTGAAACACACAAACTCACTTCTGATAGGAGTTGACATCATCAGACAGCCAGTCCTCAAACGCCTTATCAGAGGAGTGAGTCTGATTCTGTCCCGCAGCGGCACTGGACCTACAACGACAGCATCACACGTGTCAGCAACAGCATCATCATTCATCATATGCTCTTTCAGATGCAGTGAAGGGACGGCTGGTACCGGTGGGCGGCGCTCAGGCCACTCTTGGCCTGTGGAGGAGTCCAGTTCCTGGCAGACGAGCTCTCGATCGTCCACTCCTTCCCTTCAGCCAGCGTCGCCACCTTCAACACACAGAACACCAAACTACTGCAGAATACTGTCATGTGTACAAGCAGCCAGCAATCAAACAGACCTTCAGCACACAAAATTTGTTCACAACTTCAGTCCAGTTAGAGAGGCAGATATCGTAAGGGTTATATACCCTTACGATATCTGAAAGCTTAAAACTCATCTTGAAAAAGGAAGTTGTTAAAAAGTGTCTGAAAGGTACTACAGCATAGTATGTGTTGCATGATATACCTTTACTAAACAAAATTTGTTCACAACTTCTTTTAAGCCTTCTGTCTTCAAACATCTGAATGTAATGATGGATGAGTGAAACACACAAACTCACTTCTGATAGGAGTTGACATCATCAGACAGCCAGTCCTCAAACGCCTTATCAGAGGAGTGAGTCTGATTCTGTCCCGCAGCGGCACTGGACCTACAACGACAGCATCACACGTGTCAGCAACAGCATCATCATTCATCGTATGCTCTTTCAGATGCAGTGAAGGGACGGCTGGTACCGGTGGGCGGCGCTCAGGCCACTCTTGGCCTGTGGAGGAGTCCAGTTCCTGGCAGACGAGCTCTCGATCGTCCACTCCTTCCCTTCAGCCAGCGTCGCCACCTTCAACACACAGAACACCAAACTACTGCAGAATACTGTCATGTGTACAAGCAGCCAGCAATCAAACAGACCTTCAGCACACAAAATTTGTTCACAACTTCAGTCCAGTTAGAGAGGCAGATATCGTAAGGGTTATATACCCTTACGATATCTGAAAGCTTAAAACTCATCTTGAAAAAGGAAGTTGTTAAAAAGTGTCTAAAAGGTACTACAGCATAGTATGTGTTGCATGATATACCGGTACTAAAAAGGTATTGCGATACCCTGCTTTTAAATACGGTACGATTCTGCATTTTACTAGTAACGGTACTTTAAGAATGTTTTTTAATAAGAGCCGTATTTCCTGGGTTGCATCGTCATGTGACAGCAGGACAGTGTGTGTACAGAGCTCTGCTTCCACTCCCTGCATACACACTAGCTGTACCAAACTTTACATATCTGCGCAGCGCAGTCTGCTTAAACTTACTGCCAATTTAAGAGTGAATAACAAACATGCATGCATGAGAAAATACAGCATGGGACGTTTTTTGTGGGTGGAGTCTGGTGGCAGAAAATGACAGTTTTCAAATAGCAGTCAATGGAAGCCATGGTATAAAAGAATAAAAAAGGTAAATTTGAGTTTATATTTCAAAATTCTGACTTTGTTCTCACAATTCCGATATTATAGCTCACAATTCTGATAAGGAAAAACAGCTCGTCATTCTCTCTCTTCCCCTCGGCTCAGAATCATGAGTTTATATCCCTGACTTCTGGCTTTTTTCCTCAGAATTGACAAACTCGCTATTGCGGAGTTAAATTGAGTTATAAAGTCCTATCTAGGAGTTATAAACTTGCATTTGCAAGAAAAAAAAAATCATAATTGTGAAATAAATAAATGTTACGTAAAATGTTAATATTAATAGGTTTATTATTTCATGCTGTAACTGTAGGGCTAATACAATACATCCCTATGAACTGCATGTGTGAATATTATGTAGACCTATTTTTTAAATCAAATTTATGCTTTAAAAGTTGAGTAATCGTAGCAGTTTTAATCGTTGTGACTCAAGTGACGTAACTGATGTCTACTCCAAATTGGTCTATTCAGATCTCTTTCAGGAGTTATTGTGCTTCAATGGTCAAATACAGTTGGGGATATTCAAATTCAAAACTCAGCCTTTTCAGATCATATGTTTATCGTCAGTAGTAATTTTACCTCACGTGTCACCCAGATTATTTGTTGTCCAGTTTGTCATGTTCGCTCTTTTTTTTTTACCACGGCTACCATCGAGAGGTTTAAGACCCTATTTTCTGAATCTGACATTTCTGGTGTTCTTGATGGCTCTTGTGATGTAAATGCAGCTTTTGAGATATTCAATTCCACATGTTCTTCTAACTTAAACTCTATAGCCCTGTTAAGGGTTAAGAGTGGTAAGACCAAATCTCAACCTTGATGTTACGGCCAGAGTGTTCTTTTTGCATTTGTCCACTAGGTAGCGTTGTTTTGTGGTTTCGTCTTTTCCAGAGCGAGAGTCAGGTACAGGTGTGGAGTGTTACCTGTGATTGTCGTTTGGGCTTAAAAGATGGGAGATTCAGGCCATGTCCACACGTACACGAGTATTTTTATAAACAGAGTTTTTCCTTCTTCCATTTAAAAAAAAATCTCCGTCCACATGAAAAAGCAAAAGCATACTATGAAGCACTGTCAAGAGCATGCCAAGCCAACAGGTGGCGAAATAATCTCAACCGTGAAGCCATGCTGGCCAATCAGAAGCCTGAAAAAGTTTCCAGTAGGCGGAGATAACAGCGCATGCTCCTACGTCACAAGCCAAAATCTCCGGTTTCGCTGTCTACACGATAACACTGTGATATTTAGTCTTTATCAGAGATAATTGGTCAGTTGAAACCTACAAATTGCTGCCATGATATCATCCCATTAAAAATGATTAAACAGACCTCTGAGATTATCGCCCCAAGCCTATTGACATTAGTTAATAAAAGTCTTACATCAGGAGTAGTTCCTGCAAGTTTTAAACATGCTATTGTAGAGCCCCTCTTGAAAAGATCCAACTTGGATCAGAGTGTTTTATCAAATTATCGTCCTATTTCAAAATTACAATTTGTATCTAAAGTTTTAGAAAAGTCAGTTTTAAATCAAGTACAGGCTTTTCTAGCTCAAAATTACATCTTTGAAATGTTTCAATCTGGATTTAAAATAAACCACAGCACAGAGACAGCCCTGCTCAAAGTATTAAATTATATTTTATTTTGATTGACTCTGGTGACTCTAGTCTTCTAGTTTTACTAGATCTAAGTGCAGCATTCGATACAATTGATCACGATATCCTTATTACGTGCCTAGAAAAGACTGTGGGTATTCGAGGCATGGCTCTTGAGTGGTTCAGATCATTTCTTTCTAATAGGACATTTTGTGTTAATATCGGTCAATTTTATTCCAGATCTGCTCCACTGAGTTGTGGTGTTCTCCAAGGTTCGATTCTTGGTCCAATCTTGTTCTTATTGTAAACGCTGCCCTTGGGTTCTATTTTTCAAAGGCATGGAGTCTCTTTTCATTGTTTTGCTGACGATATTCAGGTGTATCTACCTTTACGGAAACAGGATAAAAAGGTCAATTACATGTCTTCTAAATTGTATTTAGAAGTTAAATTATGGATGTCAGCAAATTTTTTTAAATTTAAATTAAAGTAAGACTGAGATAATTTGGTTTGGGAACTCCTAGTCCTTGTTCCTTGTATGCGGGTATGAGTCAATCACTGTTAACCCGCTTACAATTAGTGCAGAATGCTGCTGCTAGATTTTTGATGGGTGTTCGTAAACACCAGCATACAGGGCCGGATTTACACATAGGCATTCTAGGCACATGCCTATGCTTGCTCGTCCAGGGGGGGCCCAAACACAATGAAGAGATATATAATATTTTTGTTATGCTATGGGATATCTACAACAGTAAAAGAAACAAAAACCCCAGAAGACATTGCGCAAATAAATATAACAAACAATAGGGTAAAAATGACAAACTATTTCCATGTCTTCAACCTTTTTTATGTTCGGAAATCACGCTTTCTTTCTCCCGTTCTCTCTCACAGATGCACACACAGTAGCCAATAGACACGCACAAACGCGGAGACACGAACAGAAACTTGTTGTCAGAGCTGTGGCTGCCCCGCGAATTTATCAATAAAATAGTTTCGCA